AACGGTTTAAGTTATAGTCAATGGTGTTAGTTACTAACGGTTTCCTTGTGATGTTTTTAAAAAGATTAGGCACTCGACTAGGCTATTAACCTCTGATAGTTTAGAAAAAAGTTTATAAAATGCAATCAATTTGTGGGCTTGTGTTTCTAGATTAGCAATAAGATACAAGTTTAGTTATGACTTTCGTGATCAACTCAACAAAATGGTTCAAAGGTGTTTCTCGTGTAACGGTCGACTTCACGGCTTCGACTTTTAATTATAGGCCATTCAAGTTTGTTTTCGCTCTGCGTTTAGTTTTTCCATTTTAACTAAACTGTCTGCGTGTTTGCATATTTAATCAACATTTTTTCTTTTTGTTTGGCCAACTTCCGCCTCGGCTTCGGAGGCGGGACGACTACGAACTACAGTTTGCGTTCATTTTGGCTCTCCTCTGGGCTGCGTTGGCATTTATAGCTCAGTTAGGGCCAGACCAAGGTAGAAGGTTAACAGAGTGTGTGGGTGGGGAGGTTTGGTCGTCTGAGAATGACTGGCATAAATCACAGAGGGCAATATGCAACACTATTTCCAGTGCGGCACTGAAAATACTCCTTGTCGCTATATGACCCCGCAAAACCTGAAAGCGATTTCAGGTCCTCTAACTTCTCGTTGCAGCTTAACGCGTTAGCTCGTACCTAAGCCAAAGTTTTAATAGGAGCTCGAGGAGTTCCTGGAAGTTCACTGGAGGTCTTTCTCCTCGTAGCAAAAGCCCTTGGTTGCGTTTTATTAAGCCCCTGTGATCGATTATATTTGCCAAGGCGGAGTCCATAAACTTGGTCTTAGTTAAGGACAGAAAACCCATCAGATTACCACAAAGTAAATATATATAGAGGTGTTAATAAGTTCCCGAAGTTCCGAGCAAGTTCCCTAAAACAGTCAGTTGATGTCTATTTTATAAATACTAGAAATACATCTGCAAGCAACTTAAATATTTATCCAAGCAGAAACACTGTTATGGTATTTCCCAAACTTGTTGGCTCAACTCAGTAACTGGGCAAAATAAAAATAAAATTTAAGTCCTCGTCATCCTGGACAGCTTCCAAAAATGGGGAAAAAAACCTCCTGCACACGCAATCCAGGCAGCTGCATCTCGGACTTGTAAATTGCATTTGCAGCCAATTTACACAAAATTAAATTGAATTTACGCTACGCTTGCCCAAAATATCAATGAATGTCGCCCAGAGAGAAAGAGCTCGGATGGTGTGTGGGTGGATGGGTGGATGGGCAGGCATGTCCTTGCTATGCAAGGACTCTACAGAGCACCGCAAAAAGTCAACTGCATTTTATCAAAATTCAAATTGTATTTCCTTCTCCGTCTGCTTGTTTAGCATGCGTGATAAGCAGCCAACAAAAAGCGAAGAGGACTGCCACTGCCACTGCCACACAAACTTGGAAACGCACACGGTCGCACATAAATGAAGTGCCTGCAACTTGGCCGTGTAGTTTGTTGCATTTTGCACATAAAACAACAACCATTGGAGTGAGGGGGGGTTAGGGAAAAGTTGAAAGCGCCAAGGCGTGGGCTAAACCAAAGACAGCGTGGACAACAAACTAATGCACTCAGTCGTGCGAGGCCGGCCCACCTTCCCATTCTCCGTTCAGTTGTTCACGGGACTTAGTTGGCTGACTTAGCTGGCTCGACAAATCACACGAGCTTCACTACGGGCAGCAAATGAATCCAGGCCCAAGTTTCCTACCTGCGTAACTTCGCAAGTGTTGAAAGCTGCTAAAGAATGGGCTTGAGCAGATAAGGCAGGCGGACTAAAAGTCAGTTGGGTCTTAAAATCGACCAATAGGGATCAGCGACATCAGCGAGAAAAGCACTTCGATCTGGATAAATTTCCAATTTCAAAAGAGACTTTGGTAAGGTCATGGGCTATTTAGATTCAGCCATTATGGACATAAGCCTGCCTTGAATTTTGACTATTCAGCATGGTTAGCAGCATAACATATCTACAAAATTGCCATTTCAACGTATACAATGTGTATATTAAATGCAAATATTATTTGAAACGAAAAGCAAAACTTAATTTTAAATATTGTATTTAGGTTTGGTTTTGTTCAGCTTATTTTTATTTGCTACTGTATTTTTAATATGACAGCGCCGAATGGGAAAAGCTTCACACTCATTGATGCTTATGAATCCGTAATCAATATATCTATTATTGACAATTTTACTCCTCTCCTTTTTTATTTCTTTAAAAATTAAAGATTATTATTTCAAAATAATGTTGTACGCCAGGGAAATATGCAAAGTGTACAATGCAAAAAGTATTCATTTTAAAAAATGTCAAATAGAATTTTTTCAAAATTACTAACTAGATTATACCCAACATAATATTTTAACCAATTTCAAATTAAAGCAAAGATTTCAGTGCTTTAACATGTCTCGCCCTATATCTATTTTATTGAATATAGTGAACCGGTGCAAACAAAACTTGAGTTTCGGCAGGAAGGGACACCCGTGTCCCAATGGTCGACAGAGGTCTAACCCTGTTTTTCCAAAGTAACGTTTAGGATGCCGTGTTCATTCTCATCAATATCATATTAATGCTCGGCTGCCAACAAACAATTGAAAACAATACAAAATACTTAGGAATTCCTTTGCTCCTCAGCCTGTATTTATTCCCTGGTTCGTGACGTGTTTGTCTGGATGCCTTAAGTTGGCCTTCTGCCAGAAATCCTACCTTACTCATTTTTATACTTGTATAGGTTTTCCATCCCTTTTTCGGTTCGGGCTTTGTTTTCGCCTTGGGAAGTGGATATCTAAGCTGAAGAGGGAAAGGGCAGAAATACATTTTGGTTTTGGGCCGTTATGCATATTTTCCATTTGTTCACCTCTGGATATCTTCTTCGAATGCCAGAAATATGCCGCAAGTGCTGTCAATTGTTGATGATGTGGGAATTGCCTGAACCTAATGTTTTTTACGAAGCGATAACTTCGACAAGGCTTTAATGTGTTTTTTTTCGGGTCTTTGCTTGCTGGAGTATGTGAAAATGGATAAGTTTAATTTACTTATTACTAGCAGTTAAAATAATAAATATTTGTAATCCCTCAGAACTGGTTTTGAAACAAACAAATTTTTTGTAGCACACTTTTTAGCATCAAGTTGTCACATTTCATAGAACTGAAGTTAAGTTTCCTAATAAGTTAATATATATATAACTAAAATAATTTCTCAATAAAAAAAACATTACTAAAGAAACACCAAAATCAACGTTTATATAATCAGTTATTTAGTGTTCTTAAAGGAATGTTTTTGATTAAATATCGAACGTAAAAGGAAGACATGAGTGCTGAAGTATGAATATTAAATTCGAATGAGCACAGATTGTCGGTAACTTTATTCAAGAATATACTATCCGATTTCATAATTAAGTGGGTAAAAAAGTAGCCAGCGGACAGAGCTTCCCCTGGCTTTAAATTCTTAAGCGGCATTGAGCTGGTCATGACCAGTGGCAGTTCCGTGCTCCAGCGCTACATACACGATTGAGATTGGGAGGCGGCAACAACATCTTGCTTGGAATTTACGTGATGTACATTTAAACGCGAGTGAGCAACCGGAATTATGCGTCCACCGGGTCTGAAGCTGGTGCTGCACTGGGACCCACAGAGATGGGTAGTGGCAGAGAAGAGGGAAGAGGGATGGGATTTTCGAACAGTTTGCTAAATTGGCATGGCCAGACTGAAGGCAAAAGGCACGCCTAGGTGAGCGCGCCCTCCAATATTTCTGGCTCGACTGCGCGACGGGTCTATAAGTATGCTGGAGCAGCGGCAGGGAATCGCACATCTGCTGAAAAAATTGATTGATGATTGATGGCAATACAAAAAGGGCGACGTATGCCTCCCGAACATGCTATCCATGAGTTGTTGGGGAAGGGAAAGGTGCATCCACATCCACTTCCACTGCCACATCCACATCCAGAAATAGAGGAAAAACAGAATGGGAGAAAAGCGCAATTTCACATGTGTATATACTCGTTGCTGAGTGGGTGGCTGAATGTGTGTGGTGGTCGGCATTATTGGGGGTGGGGGACTTGGGCTGGCACAAATATTCATGAGCGAAATGCCGTGTGCTCGTCTCCCGTCGCGGCTCAGACAAAATTTGCATAAATTTGGAATTTGAAAAGCTATCCAGCCTGATGGAAATGATGACGAGCGAGAGCAGCACACACCTAAACACCCACTTCAAACAAACAGGGGCAGAGCGACGATGAAGATGGAACACCCACGCCCACGCCCACGCCCCCAGTCAGTTGTGGCACGTTGTATTAAGGCATTAAATGTTTGCCGCACACATTGGAGAACAAATATGCCGAGGCCCGAATTGGGAGCGGAAATGCCAGCCAACATTGCTGAATTATTATCGAGAGTTTAGGCTGACAAGCCTTGCACGTATCGTTTTGCAGGCAACTGATAGATATGCCAAAAATGTGGGCAGAATTTGCCCGCATAAATTGCCACTTATGATGTTTCTTGATTTTAGCCACGTGTTTTGCATTCTTCTACTCAAAACTCCGAATTGCGAATTTAATCATTTGGATATGTATCAAAACTGTTATTAAAAAATCTGTTTTTAGTATATTACAACCTTCATAAGCATCTAATGCCAAACTTAATATTTCTTAGTACCAAACCACAGGAAATAAAATAATTTAAATATTTAAATACAATAATATTAAGGCCAAGTCGGAGTTGTTATCAAAAATTGGAATAACTTTAGTTTGAACAGACTGTCAATTGAATTATTTGTGATAGATAAATTGGTCAAAAATATTTACGTTCAAATTAAAATAAAATATTTAATATAGTTATTATAGACTGTACTTTTTGTCACTCCCCATTTCAACTATGACTGTTCTTTCAGATCTAAGCGTTTTTGGCTTAGACTGTGAGTCACCTACCAATTTTGTGTGACTAATTTGCTGCAGTTGCACTCGCAGCTTGTGTGATTGCATGAGTTGACCCGATGGGCTTGATATTGTTCCTGGATTGCTTGATGTTGGGTTTCTTAATGATGTTGTTGATGATGTTGTTGCTGAAGTGGCACTTGCATCGCTGGCAGCGGAATGCAATTGCTGTTAGCAAATTGCCTGAGTTTTGCAGAGTTCGCGCAAATTGTGGCGGTTGCTCAAACTGAGGCGGCCGGAAGTCGATGGTTGGCTTTGATTTTGTAGAGGCTGCTGCTGCTGGCGGTGGCGTTGCAGCTGCAGACGTGGGTAGGGACAACCAAAGGACTGCGGATGTTGCTGCCAGCGCAAGCGCCGCACGTTTAGGGCGCCACATGGATAGGCAACCTGCAATAGAATTGATGAGAGATTCAAGAAAGAACAGAACAGATGCTGCCACACACAGAAAACAATAAGAACGTATGCATATTTACTGTCAAAACAACAACATCAATGAGCAGGGAGCACAACATCGATTGGTAAAGGGTTATATTTATGGATGAAACGGAAATCATGATAACAGATAGTGTTCTTGCGCTATAAGAGAGGCTTATGAATATATGTAGTAGTAGCAGTAGTAGTAGTAGTAGTAGTAGTAGTAGAAACAACATCAACAACAACAACATCAATTATAGAACAACATCAATATATTGGAGTCAGTAACAACATCGATTCTTATAAGACATAAAATATTTGCTTTTCCCAAGTTTGTGATAGTTTCGTAATATTTTGATTTTTGTTATTCTTAAATTTTCCCAGCCCGGAGCAGAAACACAAACACACATTTAAGGAATCCATTAGAGACTTAGATACATTTAAAATAGAACATTCCGACACACTTAAGAATATATTATACTTACCTTACCTTATTATTAAAGCTTATATTATTTAAAAGTGTACACATTTGGATAAAGTGAAGTGTGCTTATAATACGACTAGGACAAGGCATGCACAAGTGCTTACATTTAAAAAAAAATATTTAAATTAAATTTCAATATTAATAACTACATAAAAATCAAAATTTGATATTCAGAGAGCTTAAAGTTGCTCTGAACTTTAACTTCAAGAAATTAAAGAAGAATTTTTTGATTGCAAAATCCTTAAACAAACTTAAAAGAAAAGAAAATGTGTAAATAAGCTCAATGAATAAAATGATCTGTCACTGTCGGGGATTTGTTTTGGTTGTAGGTGATTGAATAACGTGACGAGGTGGCATAAGAGCCACAGAGACGCATTGGCAGATATACAGCACGAATGTAAATCGAAATTTTTATTACGGTGTTGGAATATGTCAAGCTCCCTGCTCTACAATAAAAATGTCGCGCATTTGGCTTTGAAATGCAAAAAAATGTTCAAGCGTTCCCATTCCATCCTCTTTGTGACGGAACATTTTCGAGTTGAGGAGCTACCAGTTTTCTAATAAAATATATTTTTACACATGCGCATGCATAAAATATTCTCTTTGTAGTTGGTGTCGCCAATATTTCATGGGCTTTATAAAGTTGGAAATTGTTCCTTCTTTGGCTCAGACAGTTTTTATGGCCACAGAAATATAGAGTATGGGGCTGATTCTTCCAACATTAATCAAACACTTTATCTCAGTCAGAGAACAAATTTTATAAAAGTATTAGTATAAATTTGTTTGGAAACATAATTTTTGTGTATTTCTACCATCAAAATGGAAATAAATACATCTGAAAGAGTGAAAGCAAGTCAAATTCAACGGGGTATACATTTAAGTGGTTTAAAAATGCTGTTTTAATTGTTCTTTTAAATATAGTTAGCAATCGGCAACTTTTGGAAACCGTATAAAACTAATGACTATAAATTGAAGAAATAATGTATTTTATTGGGTTCATTGCTGATCAGATTTTTGTAGAATTAATCGTCTAGCTCCTACAGATACTGTTCTACAGATAATGTTTTTTAAGTAACTGTGTTGGGTAATAAATTAGTTTGACAACAAAAACTCAGGCTTGACGCATTGTGCTCTCCAGTGCTGAACTCGTGTCAGTGAGTTCTTGGCTCAGCTGGTCTTTCTTAATTAATTAACTGATTTGCAAAAATAATAATAAAACTGTCAGCCGCAAGAGGGAGTACAACAGCCGACAGAAATCTCCTGTCCGTTTCAACATACTATGTGGCGAATATATTTTTTTCTTATCCCAAATTCCTCTTGGCCAGGACACGGGGCAATCTGACTTGCTCGCTTACTCTTACGGGCCATTGGCAGAGTGGCCGTCGTCGTCGCCGTCGTCCTTGTTTTTCTGGAAACTGGCATCCGCCAACACTTAATTAAAATGGCATCCGGCCGAGGCGGAAAAAATCCTGAGCGGCCCAACATTCACCCTCCCTCGCAATCGTCCACCTACGTACCATATATATATATATATATAGAGAGAGAGACCATCCATCGCGTCTACTGGTGTGAGTAAGTGAATTCGTTTCCCGCTTTTGGCCGTTGATTGATATGCCAATGAAGCGAACGCCGAGCTCAGGGCTCCTATTCCAGCACTCTGGCCAATGGATCCCAGAGACCAAGGAAAGAATGCGGAAAAAATCTAGTTCGTTAGCTCTTATGCAAAGCGGGACAATAGTGTACACTGCGGCCCAATCGCCGGCGCAAAGTCAACAAATGCAGATGGGGCCAGATAAATTGCCAAACTGAAGCGTCCAGCACCAAAGCGGCTTCGGGCCCAATAGGAATTGCTTGGCTTTTGGCTCAGTTAGTTGCGGTTCTGTTCTGTTCTGTTCGGTTCGGTAGAGGCCTCTGCCTTCTATGGTATGGTCAGTGCTCGTCTGGAATAACAACACAAATTTTTGCTTTTTTCACTGCCGAAACAAAGTTTAGGGTAAAAATGAAAGGAGGAGAGGCACACCCAAAAGGTGTGCTATAAAATCAAAGGGGATTTTTCATCAGCTCTGTAATACACTTCCCAGGGAGTCAATCAGAAATTAAGAAAAGAAAGTACGATATATAAAATGTTTAAAGTCTGTAAGTTAGCTGACATCAAAGTTTCAAGCTATTGATTATTATGTAGCTTACATTAAAATAAAATATATTTAAATTTTAGTTAGTTTTTAATTCATTTTTATTCCAAAAACTACTATACCATTTATTTTAAAAATATTTTACATTTATTTGATGTTGCAAAAGGGTGTTTACTATTCTTTAATTCTGGGAAAGTCCGCCACTGACCACAAAATCCATTCGTTCATGAATTGTGCTACATCAGGGGCGAGCGTGATTAATTGCAGGCTGTGGTTAAATCCTTTTTAGCCCTGATTTCGGTATTTTTCAGGTTAACTCAGCTAATTCTTTGCCTCACTCAGTTCTCTTTATTCCCTGTTATTTTTTTAGGAAATGTATTGCGACACAGTCAACATTTCAATGTTAAAATAGGTTCACTTCCAGAGACACGTAGGCCAATATTTATTGCCTTATTTTGTAACGCTAATTCTTAACTGATCATTGTGCTTCGCAGAGAAAAACATTTTGTCAGTAGATTAATTTAAAAATAATATTTTTTAATAAAATTTAAAGCTGCCTCTTCACTTTAAAAAAAGGTTTTTTAATACTATTTCTATAACCGATTATGTTGCTTAACTACTTCTAAATAAAATAACTTCCAATCCATTTAAAGCAATTTTCAAATGGCCTTCGAAAAATCTAAATGGTACAAAAATTGTATTTTTAGTATAAATAAAACGTTGTTTATAAATAAGTGCAAATTAACAGGGAAACATGACTGGAAATCGAGATCTCAATTATTAGACAGGAACAAAGACCAAAAGATCAAATGGAGATTCTTTCCGCAAAAAAACTCGTATTATATCTTTACAAACGGTTAACCTAAAACTATCAACAGAAAAGCCGACTCTTAATTTAAAGTCAGACCGGGAGTCTTGACCCTTTCGGCCTCACTTTCTTTCTTTGACTTCCGCTTCTAAGGCTTTTGAATTATCAGCGACTGCCATTCCATGGCATATGTGCAAAGTTTCTGCCCACTTTCCGTATTTGCTGCTTTTGCTCTATCTACTGGCTACTTGGCAGCAGATATTTTTCATTTTCGAAAAAAGAGAATTATGACTTTTCCCACCCAATTCCTGGTTCCGCCCTCTTTAGCTTGGTTTTGGGAAATTTGAATACGACAAAGCAGCGCATAAGATTCAGATAAAGCTAAACTGCCAGTTGCCATGAAAAGTTGAGCGGTGTTTCAGGCTTTTTCATGACCGCCGCCTTGCACGGCCACAGCTTGACTTTTTATTTTTATGCTAAACTGTTTCCTCTCCGCAAAAAGCCGTATTTCGTTTGCGCAAAAAACTGGCTGCCAAACTGAGGCACAAAGAGGAAACCGGAAGTTATATCGTCCTCCGGATGATTACTGCACTTTCTGTGTGCAAGTTTCCCTTCGCTGAAGTGGTCTCCAAGGCTCCAGTTGAAGGATCCTTCACTTATGAAAGCACTCGATACGTTAATTAAAAGATCAGAAGGAATGAACGGCTGAACGGCTGAACGGCTGAACGAGTGAACGAATGAACCTTTCTAGCCCTACTCGATTTAATGAAACAACTCTTGATTATGCAACAGGAAGAGTGGCTTCCTCCTTTTGCCTCCAGCAGCAAAACAATGCGGCAGGGGCAGAGGCGGAGGCGGAGGAGAACAAAGGTGGAATTCCTTCGACTCGCCCTCAAGTTTTAATAAGTAGCACACACATGCGGCAACAGTCGACTTCTTGCCACACACAGTGGCACTGGCAAGAGAGCACAAGAATGGGAAAAGACGAGGCCAAAAGTTCTGAAAGAAGCCAGAGAAGAAAGATAAACTCTTTCCAACGGCCCGGTCTCCGGCCTAGACTAAGAAAATGTAATAAATTTCCACACAAAAACAGCCACAAATTTCCCTCTCAGTGTTTGTCAGAGTAAACAAAGAAAATATGAAAACAAAAGACTTGGAGGAGGAGCAGATAGGAATAGGATGGAATTGAATGGACCAGCCTATCTATCCTTCTATCTCGAAAAGGGGGTGGCACAGGGTGTCGCCCAGTTTGTACAACTCTGCAGCAGTTCACAACATTTTGCATATTCAATAAACTACTTCTTGCCGTTCTTGTGTTTAGTTTGATTTCCTTTTGAAGACTCTTTTTAGTCGTTCTGAGCAAAATTAAATTTCAGTTATGAGTTTTGGACCAAGCACAACCAGAGGCAGGGACACAATCAAGATTTGTTGTTTTTTGCAATTATTGAAATATGGTTAGGTGGGAAAATGTTGCTTCATTTGTTATATTCCTTGTCGTCTGTGCAAATGTGTTCTAAAATTTTAATTACTTTTCCGACCACATAACCGTACAAACAAAGCAGGTGGGAGGATAATCACAACAAGCTGAAACATGTGTTCCCTAAACTGCATTTACATGGTCACACATGTTCGGCATTTTAAACTGAAACTCAATTAGGGTAAACATTAACAAGCATAAATCAAAAGCCAAACAAAATATATCTATATTTTAGACAGTGAAAATTGCAATCAATTTTAAAGCCCTCTTTTGACTGCATATTATAAAATTGCCCAGACCAACGCATTTACGGATTGACAGAGTTTTTGCAGAGCGAATTTAGCACAGTTCCAGCAAATTTCGCATACAACAAAATTGAAAGCAATCAAAGAGGATTTGCACAATTTTAAGTTGAGCATGCAAGTTCAAATTTTTCGTGTCAAATAATATATGATATTTTCAATCAACAAAACAGAAAGTATTCCTTATTTTCTTAAATTGGTTGATTCCCTTAAATATTGAAAACTGAGTGAAAGCACAACAAATAATACAAAAACAACACTCAAACAATGTGCATTTAGAAGAAAATTATATGTCTAGCTACTTAATTGATGGCGTTGAGGGCATTGCCCCTGGCACTTACCCCTGCGATGGATTGTTTGTCATTGTGGAGCGAAGCCTGTGCCCCCGAAGTGGGCGACGTTGCAGGCGTGGCCGAGCTCTCCGGACTGAAGTAAGTCAGAAAAGCGCAACCTGCAATGACAGACATTAAAGTGTTAATCAAAAATGATAAGTCTAAAAAGAGGATATGATTTTGAAAATACCTACAACTATCTCCTATTTTAATCTATTTGTTTTTCCGCGTAAACCATGTTCGCTTTATTACACAATTTAAGCTCTGCCCGTCGGAATGTGCTGGCGAAAGGGGATTGGTAGGACTGCTAACCACTGTACACATATGTCGGATTGCGTGTGCCAAGCGTCAACGTGTTTAGCACAGTTTTGTGGCCATTTCATAAATCCGTGTAATTTTCCCCGCCGCTCGCTTTCCCATTGTTTGGTTGTGGTGGCCCGCCAGGCGTTGTTGCTGTTGCTGCTGTCGGTTCAGGAGGCAAGGGGATCCTGTCTCTGCTCCTCATTAACTGCTCACCTGCACGGCGACAGGCTCGTGTCAGCCTAAACCGATTTAGCAACACATATTCAACCGGCACACGAAGCCAGTCCTGACATGTGGTCAGGATACCCAGAGTTGCCTGCTCCGGCATTGACTGTCTGTTCCCCACCACCCCCGCCCCACCTCGCTAACCACTGCAACAGCAACAATTATATTTAACTTTTAGCCCAAAACGCGCGCACGTTTAGACCAGGAGTAGAGGGTTCGGGTCCTTTTACCCTGTCTTTTTCCCGTGGCCTTTTGTCTGGTTCGCTCAAAAGGCCACAGCATGCAACACGTCAAAAGTTGAACGACAAGCGACCAGCTCTACAACAACTGTCGGGACAAGTGCAAGAGCAACAACCCAACAACCCAACAACACAACAACAAAACAACCGAACAACCTGCCAACTGTCGACGTCAGCGCCGTCTAACAACATAAAAATTGTCGGCACATTGTTGAAATGCCAGGAAATTATGTGCAGCCCCCCAAAGGACGAAACGGGTCGAAGGAGAGGCGGAAGGAGCTGTGGGGGGACAACAGCTGCCAGTAATTAAAATGAGCAATTCACATAGTGAAGCGGCAAAAACGTTGACCAGACCTCTGCCTAATGAGTTTATTAATTAAAAATCACTCTCATAAATACACGTATGTACAATTGCGTGCAAAGAAATAGTAGAGGCAAAAAACAAGGATAAAAAGTTGGAATGTTTTTGTTATATTAAAAAAATATCAATGAAGTGCCGGCAAAAAAAAACATTAATTTCATAATTACTAACATTTTGATCCATTTATAATTTTTACTGGTCAATTGAGAGAACTTGTACATTAACGTGCTTTTTCGAATGTATGTGATTTTTTATTATCCATCCCAATCTCAAATAATAAAAGCTTCAAAATAAAAAGTTATTGCATTAATTAAAATTTAATTTTACCTCATTGCTGCCCATACGTATAACTAAACAAATCTCAAACTCTCCCACTCTTCAGTTTCCCACTAAGTCCTTAAATTTATTAACCCACATTAACCGCTTTTCCAGGCAAAATGTTGCTCATGGGGCTCTCGTAATGTGCCTCCGTAGCAATATTATGAGTTGCTTTAGGCTTTTAAAACTTTTCACTTTCAGGAGGAGAGTGCGGTTTGGTATCTCCTTTGCGGCAAATCAACTTTCAAGCCGAATGCTAATGAATCATTTTTGCCAACCCACTGACCGCAGTCGGTCGAGGTAGCCATGGTAGTTGGCCCACACCATTTATTAGTGGTTCATGGCGGGGCCAAATTAATGCTTGTGGTTTGTACAAGCAATAAACAAGGGTACAAGAAAAAAAAAGTCATACAAAAGTCTGCCCAAGTTAGTTATTTTTATTTTTATATACAACCTCGAGTTTTCGATTAATGTATTTAGATACAAGGTCAATAAAAACAATACAATATTGGCTCAATTTGTTAAACATTATTTATTATTTATATATTTTGATTAAATATTCTTAGAAAGGATTCTCTTCATAATTAGTAAGAAGTTACACAAACAGAAAAACGGAAAAATAGGCTTAGTTACATTAATTCAAAAATAAATTTATATACCTTACTGGGTTAAATCAGTTTCCTAACACTTTGTTTCTAATTACACCACAGTTTTCACATTTTAGGGCTGAACAAAGCTTAGCAAGTGCTCTAACAGTCGTATGCCTGTTCTTAACCAAATTGTAGACATATTAGCCGGCACTGAATTATACAGCACTTGTACGCCAGAAAGGGATCAAACAAGGCAGAGCTTAAATTTTCTTGTGTGGCGAAGGCAGCTAGGTAAATAATTGATACCAGTTTTTCAACGAGACGACCGTCGTCTGTGTTCTTTTGCGTTCTTTTTATGGTATTAAGTTATTATGTGCTTAAACCTAAATATAATGCCAACGGCTTCAGATGTTGAACGCCAGCCGTGGCTGTGCTTTTATTGTTTATTGAGGGCCGGGCCGATGTAACAGGCCGATTTAACTGTCTCACCACTCGGCTAACACAAAGAAAGCTGCAGAGGGCTGCCTTCGCTGGAAACATCTTAAGTGCAGCTTCGAGTTGCTGTTATTCTTCGTTGCCTTCCATTTCCATCACACAGGAAATTGTTATACTTAATGGGTTTCTCCCAGTCTATGCCTGCCGGAGGTAAGTGGGCAACCTTTAAATGTTAAATGGAGCTTGCTTAATAATTGATTATTTTGAGGCTCACAAGTAGTTAAGACCCTAACCCAATTCTTGGGGCGCAGAGTGCGCATTGTAGCAATTAGAGCTCTCCTGCCAAATTTGCAAATGTAAATTGAATGTGCGGATAGAAATAGGGATTTTTCTAGAGCACAGACAAAGTCCAACCATTGGTTTGTAATAATTGATAATTATTTAAATTAAGGTTGTCTACCGAGGACAATGGAGCTTAACAAATTTGAGTGTATAAAATATACTTACTTGCAATGTGTTCGTTGTGAAAGGCCAACATGTTCTTTGGTTTTATTTGACTTTTGCTTTCGAAAAAATATTGTTTAGTTTCGTTTTATTTTCTTTTTTACAGATCCAGTTATATTTCCGTCTGCAATATCACACTTTATGAATTTATTCGTTGCCAAGACCTGAAAAATAATATATTTTTTTTGGTTACTTTTAGGATATAAAAAGTATTTTTATGTAAGATAATAAAGTTCAGTAGAGTCGATTGAAAATGTCTATATTATTTAAAAATAAATTGTTATTCTTATTATTTCACTGTTGTGAATAGATCTAAAATTAACCTCAAAGTTGTAATACTATGTCTGCTCTGCGGAATATTTAAAACAATCCCTGGGTATCAGTGTTTCTTGTTGAAAGTCGCCCCAAACTATTGTTTTCCATATGTGTACAAATAGAGTAGGAGTAGTCGCCGTTTGATTTTCAGTTAGACTCTCAGTAAGTTTGACTGCGCAACTGTGTGGCATTTCCGCTTCCGTAACGGAAGCTAATGGAAATGGAAGGAACAATTGCAAGGGTCCAAATGACTTGGAAATTCCAAGCTGAAATTGAAAAGCAATGCAAAAGCAATTTTTAAATAAATAAAGAGATATTCGGAATACTTCCTTTTATTTAGCCAACACATTTTGTGTCTGCGACTTACATATTTCGATGTTTTAAATGTTTAAATTCATTCTTATATTTTTAAAGTTTTATTTTCTTTTGCTTCTTCATTTTTTTTTGAATCGCTAAATCATTAAACTACCTCGTTAGGGTGTGACGTTCAGGGCTGAAATGTGTCGTTTCCATCTCCCGCCCGTTAAATGCGTCTGGTAAATCTTTAATGAGCGACCTAAACGCACTCCAAGTAAATATCGATTTTATTTTCTTGCTAATTTTCTGCTCGTTATTGCTATTCCTGCCCCCAACAGCAGTACAGCACACACGTGGGTCAGTGTTGAGCTGGTCCTTTTTTGTCCTCAACCAAAAAACAATGAGCTATCCAGCTAGCTTCTCTCTTCTTTCTGTTGGCCCGGCTATGTTTGTGTTGTCTGCAACTTTTCTGACCATTCAACCAAAATAGTCCGGGACATTGTAGCAAAAACAAAGGTGAGGGGGCGGTGGAGCACAACGGCTGGAAGGACGACTACTGTGGGGATGAGGTTGATGATGACGATGACGATGACGACGTTCACGTCGACAGACTTCCTGACTTGCTGAGTTTCCTGCTTCAGCTTGCTGTTTTTATAAACCACCACTGTGAAGTCTTAAAAGGTATATTAGGCAAAGCTAACTCAGATCAGCTTATCTTGGCCGGGTATCTCTGGGTTCGGTAAGTACAAACTGCCGCTTGCTTGGCTCTTTGCAGAAAACACAAAACTTCGGGTGTACGATTCAGATTTGCATTTACCAGTCCACACCTCCACTACAGCCATGCCCATATCACTTCACTCATGCAGAAGCCTAAGCAATTGGTTTGTGTGTAGGTGGACTGGGATATGTCTGGTAGTGATATTAAATTTAAAAAATCCTAATGACAACGATGATGGCAATGATGATGCCAAAGGTGGGCAAATTTGTGTTCGCCGAAGTCGGCCATGTGAATTTCTTGTTATTGGCTAACTGCTGTTGAATTATGTTACATGAAGTTTTCATTACCTTTAGTCTACTGGTTTTAGTCGCAGGCCATTAGCAAGGCTTACGAATTCCATTGTTTTGACATTCTGCATTTATCTTCTCGCTACTCGCCCACCAAATTCGGGTTACCATAATGGAATTTTCGTGTAAACAATTTGCATGCTTTTAGCTTCACCTCATTTACATGATACGGTAAAGATAGAGAAAAGTGGAAAAATGTCGGCGGTGGAAAATTTATTTATCAATTAACACATCAAGTTTTGGGGCAATCCTTTCTTGGTGTAGGTTAAGAGTATAATTGAGAGATTTGCGATAGACTAATTTTAATAATTTGTTTGTGGATAGCCTTCTCAGATGCGTTGGGCACCTTTTTGCTTGGCTTTCTATCCATTAATTTCAGTAAGCCCTCATTTTGCCTTTTTGTCCTTGTGTGAAACTGTTTGTCAGGCTTATGAGCTTAAGCGAGGACACTCTTACATATAAAGCGAAGAGATATTGCTGAGTGGATGAGCAATATACACACATACACTCAGAAACTCTACGTACTATAATTAAGTAGTCTGGGGATTTTCCCTACCATTATTAAACTTTTGCATACTATTTTTTTTAGTAAAGAAAGAATGATACCTAAATTAAAATTAACTTAGTGCAAATAGAAACAAAAAAACGAAGAACTAAGCTCATTTTGACTGATAAATAAATGTAAATGTTTACAGATCAAGTATTTTATTTGTTAAAGCTTAAGTATTCTAGAGCTTTGGCTAGGTGCATAGTTAATTCAAGCAAAATAACCATATTATTTGGTAAGTACGCTTTTAAAAGAGAATAATAATGTCATGTGGCTACCACATTTTTTACGCCAAGTAAATCAGATTACTTGCGTTTCCAATTAGTTCTTAAGAGCAGTATGTTGTGCAGTATGAATGTGCATATGCACGTTTACATGTATGAGCATAATAAGTCAAATTAAATAAATTTAATTACATAACCAGCCCAATGCCAGGTAGAAGAGCACCCGTCAAGCGGGACACTCAACTTTTGCATGTGTGTGTGTGCGTGTGTGTGTGTGTGGAACAGGACACACACCCAAACGCCCACACATCCTTCCACTTACCCACACTTAGTGTCCTGTAGATAGAACGAGTTGTTGTGGCGCTGCATTTGTGCCGGAATGTTTGTGTGAATGTGCCTACTTAGCCTTTAGTTTCAAGTGCATAGCCTCTCCACCAGAACCTCTTCCCACCCACTTTTTTAGCCATCACCCACACAGCTACCACATCGGGTGCAGGTGCTCAAGCGAAGCCACACACAAACACACACATATTTATTCGTCCTGGCAGTGAGGCTGTGTGAGTGAGGGTAGAGGTCCTGTGTACAAGTTCGTTTAGTACTGGTCGCCGCTCATGTGAGTGGTGCTCTGAATCAGACCCCATGCCCACTTTTAACCCGCCACCGAGTCCTCGTCCGCAATCGTCCACGAAACTCAACTGACTTTCTCCGTGGCTCTCAAAAACACCCACCCCACCCACACCGCCTTTCACCCGATTTTCCCTTTTCTCTGTTTGACTTAACAAGTCGTCGTCGTCGGGCGGCGAGTAATTATGAAAATTTTCAAAATGAGCTCTCGTCCTGCTGCAAGCCCCTCAGTTCAGTTTTTGAAAGTTGAGTACGAGTAATTAAAATTTTCGTAGTGTCGCTGCTACTCAGTTCCCCACTCAGTTCTATATCTGACTCATGCCCCTACCGAATTGTCTGGCATATGCTTATTTAGCTGTTGTTCCCGGAAATATGTAGGTATATGAATTTAAATTAAATTCATTTCGCTTTTTTAGTATTTACCTGCTGAAACATACAAACACTACACTTTTGTGTTGGTAGGCTTCCTTTTAATTAGAAAAACGGTAAGGCATTTAGTTCTAAAGCGTTGGCATATAAAAGCTAAACATTACTGCAATTAGTTTTGTTGGAAAGCCCAAGATGGCGGGTACCACATGAAAGTACTTTTAAAAACATTTTAATTGAGTTCATGTGGGTTGAAAATTAAAACTTAATTAAGTAAAGATTAGAAAAGCAAGATTAGGATTTTAGAAGGGGAGAGTTTGTGTATTTTTTGAAAAACTTAACTAAATGTTTTACATTTTCAAAAGGTCAAACTCCACCGTTAGTCTAGACTTTTTTTAAAAGAAAGAACAAAATTCTAAACTGCTTATAAAGACAGTTTATCCCACGTTCAAGTTGGTTTGAGCTAAGATACTAAATGTTTCCACTTAAGCGGCAGTGCGCCTTAATACTCTCTTTGTTTGTGCATTATTCTGGCCACCTAATTTCGTCTCAAGAATATGATGATGCACATTAACAACTTGGCTAGCCACAAAAGCAAACAAAATGGCCATTAGTGCGAGTATAAAGTGTGAGATAACAAAACGCTGTGGACAGGTAAGATTTTAGTTTTGAGCTTAGATGTGGCTACTGCGTCTAAAGCTTTAAATGCTAGTCATTTAAGCCATCTTTAGCATGAATACATAAATGAGAAGTAAGAGACTTTAATTCGCCAGCAGCTATTAAAAAAATTATTTGCATCAATTTATTAGGATTAAAAGTAAAAAACATTTAAATAGTTTTGTTTTGAACCCAAAGTTTATTTACTTGCTAAACTGATGTGTTTGGCTTTTTAATAAAACGTCGAAAACGAGCTTTATTTTAACTCTTTCAACTCCTAACAGAAAACTTATTATCGCATAATTATCATCATAGAAAGCAACAAAATTCGGTATACAAAAATTAGGAAAGTCCACTTAATAGCTCAATAACTTCGCACCCAATTCAACCCAATGGAATTAACTGGGCTAAAGTAGCGAAGTCACTCAGGTCTGTTCAAAACACACCCGAAAGTTAATAATTAATCATGCTGTAATTTGCTTTCTCAGGGCAGGGCAGACATTATTTATCTGCTCTTGGCCACATGACCTTTTGGTCATTTACGCTTCAAACCAAAAGCAGACGAATCCCAGACAGTCAACGCCAAAGGGATGACGGCGGAGCACATGAATATTTAAGGGACATCTACACGGCTCGAGTTAGATGAAGATGTAACTAACTTGTGGTTTCCCCATTTGCCCAACACTGGACCAGAATTGCGGAGCTAAAATGTTGCTGCTATACCAGAGGGTGGCAAAGAGAAGTCAGGTCCAATAATTTTGACATATTGTAATGACAAGACAAAGGTTTGTCCAACCGGTTTGAATCTGTCTCCAACAGACCCTCTGTTTGGAATTCCCATTTAATGTAAATCTGCTCAAACGTTTACTCCTGAACTCAATCATCAAAATATTTCTTGTTTCTCATTCTTTTTTGTTTTATACAAACCACAGGAATCGTTGACCATTGTTCAACTGAAATATATATGTGTCTCAAACTCATATTTGCAACCGCAAAGAATTGCAAATGTAATTAACAATGTAATTTTGACTTTAACATGCACCTTTACCACCTCACATACATATATATA